TTGTACATATACCTTTTCATGTTTATAATTCGATCCGCACTCTATCTTACTGTATTTAAATTGAATTTTCTAATTGTCCTTGTATATTTTAATGTATTAGGTGAATTAAAATGTATAATAAAGCCAAATTACGACCGCCAACTCGCCTCTGCGGGAGGGAAAGGGATTGTTAGTAATGGAGACTGAGAATCCCATTGCTAGCAATATACCCAACCAGGTCGTCTCCACGCGGTTCCCCCTGGAAATTATCGCGGTTAATTCCCGATGAATTCATCATGATGGGCTAACTGGCCTGTTTTCATTCTCATCTATCACCCTTCACTGGTGCTCCGCCAGCGTATCCCGTACCGCAGGCGGGGTTACCATACCATTTTCATCCATAAAAAAAAAACTCGCCTCTGCATATATTCGCACTTGAATAAATGATACAAAAATTTCAAAGTTAAATATTTATTGTATTTTCTATATGCAACTTAGAATGGCAAACAAGCTGACGGCCCACCTGATGGTAAGTGGTAACCGTCGCCTATAGACATGAGCAGTACCATGGACACAACAGAGTATCCTGTTTCGCCCATGATACCCCCCATACGTTGCCATTCCTGAGGATTCAGGTGTTATTCCTCTGTACCCTATAAATTCACTGCCATATCTCACCTTTTAAACCGTAACACAGTCATGCAACCATAACTACTTCACGGTAGAAACACGAATGGGACAGAGGTAGCCAACAAACGACTTTTGTACAAAGTCTCCCTTTGGTACTTTCATATTTATAAAAAAAAAAACTAAAACAAACTACTTTAGCTATTGAAATGTTTGATCGTTTTCTTTCAAATTGAGAGTTTAGCGTAAAAGAAAAAGTTTTATGAAACCATTAACGTTTTTATAATAAGATCGGAAATATCTAAGCATATTTGTGGTTTGGTCGTTATTGGGGAAAAAGCCGGTCAAGTGTGCGTCGGACTCCCGCAACGAGGGTTCCGTACAAAATTATCAAGTTAAAATAGGCGACGGTTACCGCTTTCCATCAGGTGGGCCGTCAGCTTGTTTGTCATTCTAAGTTGTATAAAAAAAATATATATGATTTCAGCCATTATGCACTGCTGAACATAGGTCTCCTCCATACACTGCCATAAGAAACGGGACTGTTTCCTATGGCAGTTTACCATTGGGCAGACTTTGCCAGGAGTAGCAGCTTGGCGGGCAGGTTGCCAACGGCAGTTTAGCTTTTGGCGATGTTTTATAATTTTACTGTTAGATTTAAATTAATAGAATTAGTAGGATTGTGTTTGTTCAATTCCTTTCAATGTAGACAGGTGCGGCGTAATGGCTGTGGCAAAGGTTGCAGATTCGAATCTCGATCAGACCAATTTAGGTGAGGAACTTTTTTTAACTATGTTTTAAGTGTTCATGTACCTTATTTTTTTACAGGACAAAGTATCTAAGTGTTTTTGGATAATAAAGAAATGGTAACCCTGCCTGCGCTACCGGTATACGTTGGCGGGGCACCAGTGAGTCGTGTGGATGGAAGCAGGTCAGTTAACCCATCGTGACAAATTCCAAGACAATTAATCACAATGGTTTTCTAAGGGAACTGCGTGAAGGTCGACTTGATAGGGGATATTTCTAATGGGATTGTTAGACCCAATTACCAACAACCCCTTTCCCCAAAGAGTTTGAGAATCAGGCAATGGGTGGGATTTTATGATATTTCTGTCCCATACGTGTTTTTGCCACTAAGCAGGCTGGAATAGCATGGCTGTATTTTAATTCGTAGCGTGGGATATAGTAGTGAAATTACATTTTTAGAAGTATTATGGGTGTCACAGTATAAACTGTGATACCCATGGTGCTCTTCATGTCTATAGGCGATGATTACCACTTACATTATTATCCGGTAGACCGTCAGCATGTTTGCCATTTCCAGTTGCATAAAAACCTTATCATTAATGAAACAGCTCATCATCATCACCGTTCCAACCGTCATTTGTCCACTGTTGAACACAAGCTCCCCATTGACTGTCATAAGGAAATGTCGGAACGTTGCCTATTTATATTTCGGCATAGATAAGTACTTAGTGAGTAGGAACGGGCGACGTCGAACGTTCGTTATCCGCGGCACCCATCGGGCTTTTAAGATTCCATTTTTAAAATAATAATAATAATACAAGGACAAAATTAAATTCTCCAACATTCGATTTTAAAAAGCGAACAATATAAGAAAAAAACATTTTCATTTTACACTCGGCGCCGAGTCCTGGGGCCCGGGTGGTTTTAAAAATCGAATCAGGCTCCGGCCTTGAAGCGAGGAGAAAGAGGCGTCCTCGGCGTCAACACATAAATCATATTTCTGGAGAATTTTTAAAAGTCCTATTGCTTTCGCGTATTTGCCATGTACTCCCCCCCGCGGGGGTGTAGGGGGTGGCGTGTGTACTTACTCCCTCGTTTCCTAGTTCTGCTCGTTGTGTACAGGGTGCGTGTATTTGTGTTCGCTGTTGCTTAGTGATTTGTGGCCTTGAAATTTAAGTATTTAGTGTTATTTACTTTTGTAGTTAGTACTCTAGTTTTTTATTACGGTTTTTGTTTAAAATATTCATTGTTATGTATTTATTTAGTAATCGAATTAAACAAACCGTTCTATATACGTTCAATCATTGACTATACTAATGTATTACGGAAATAAATTATTGATTAATTTATCGAGAAATCTTAACGTAATATGTAAAGGAAGTACTAGTACTTACAAGTAGGTTCAAGTTGATGGTAAGTTCTTTTTATATATATTTATATATATAATGATAGCACAAAGTTACTTACTAATAATTTTGTATTATTATACAAACCCAAAGAAAACGTTGGTAGCTTCTATTTTAAACGTTACTACGCATATAACTACTTAACGACATAGTAAATAAATTCTGTAATTATATATATATATTATAATAATATGTGTAATTTCTGTGTACAATAAAGAATTAATAAAATGAAATAAAATCGATTATAGATTCCACTTTCTTCCACGCACAACCACTCTTTGGAATCAACTTCCAGCAGCAGTATTTTCGAACCGATACGACAACGTAACCTTCAAGAAAAGCGGATATTCCTTTTTAAAAGGCCGGCAGCACACCTGCAATGCCGCTGGTGTTGTGGGTGATCATGGGCAGCGGTAATCACTTACCATCAGGTGAGCCGCATGCCCGTTAGCCCCTGTGTTGTAAAAAAAAATTAAAATTACTGTGACGACTAACTCTGCATTACAGCCTATCCCACAAGGAACGTTACGTGTAGATAGACAGATTTTTATTTATTTTTTATTATTATTTTTTCATCATAATAATAGACATAGTATATTACGCTGAATCACCAAATAATAATTGTGATAAGGGTAGGAAAATAATGAAGAAAATAGAAAAACTTATTAATTTTTTAAAATTATTTTTCCCTTTACAATTGTCAATATTTTTTTCTCTCATATATTAATATATAATTTTAAATGTTATATATATATATATATATAAAATTGTATAAATGTATAAAATAAATGAACATTTCATTAGGGAGCACGCTGTATATCTGTAAGGCGCCGCGGTGGAGCGAGGGCGGGCGGCTTGTCGCCACAGTACACGCTTCGCTAACAGATGCAACAGAGGAATACGTAGTGTTTGTTTTTCACAATAGCATTCATGTATTGTTATTTTTGTTGCATACAAAAAATGTCCTATTGGCTTATATATATAAGAAATAAAATGGAATAATAATTATTAAAGTTACATTATACATGAACAGTTTTACAAATGACTAAATATTTTCACTGAATTTGTATGTGATCGTTATATTATATAAAAATTAGTTTAAATAAAAAAAAATCATATATGTAAGTAAATATTGTGTATGAGTGTCATTTGAATTTTTATTTTAATTATATTACTATATAATACTCATTATGTTGGTTTCTTTATTTAAAAAGGCTATGGTAACACGTGTTAGTGCGAATTACGTTCCGTTTCACGGAATCTTTGAACTATATGAAGTGTTGTATATAATTAGTAATGTTTAATTACTTCGCTGGATGTTGTGTTGTTTGATCTTAATAATAGCTATTATCGATTTTACTTAACCAAACAAACCGGAAACGTTCGTGTATTATCTGCCGTTTGTGGTTATACTATAACCGGCACACATGTGGTGGGGCACTAGGAAGAAGAAAGCGGGCGAAGAAAAAAAGAGGGAGACGAAAAACTAGAGCGGGACGGAAAAGTGGGAGAAAAACGAAAAATTTCACCCGCTACCCACTCGCCCGCACCCGCGCCACCCCGCGTGGCCCCCGTACACACACACACGCGTCTCCCCGGCGTGATTACGTCGTCTTGATACTTGAATATTCACTATCAGTCGGATTTTTTGAATTTACTTCCTATATATAATTATTTTTTAGCAAAGATTTAGCTATCGATTAATTTGATTTGTTGTTGCCAAGCACAGAGCTAGTAAAATTTGAGTGAAAATAAATTTTGTAATTAACTCAAGTACTAAAATAAAATGCAATATTTATAGTATTTATTATAAAAAAAATATTCTATATTTAATATGCCTATTTCTTTTCCTCTGTTATTTATAATATAATATTTTCCGTTTAAAATTATTTATCTGAATAGCAACAAAAAACTTTCTGAGATAAATAATTTATAAAATTAGTACAATATATTTATTATTTTTATGTACTTATAATTGTCTCTTCAAAAATTGTTTGCAAATTTATTTAAAACCATACAGAGTGGTTTATTTAAACTCATATAAATGTTATAAGTGTAATTTGTTCCACTAACAAGAATGGTACAAAGTTTGCGCAAAGCAAGCGGCTGGCACGGTGATAGTTTTTCCTGAAAGTCGCCAATTTCGCCGGCATGTGAAAGTATCAAGACGCGTCGCTCCCGCGGGAGGCTATTGTAGCATGTTTTTATACCCAAAAATTTTAAGTCAGTAGGCGCTCGAACTCTGAGCGGCTTGAACGTTTTTATTATTATTAATATATATTTATATTTCGTTTTAATTTACAAGTTTTCCATGGTTCATAATTTTAATATTTTTATACCGTTTTATACAATAATAAAGTGTTTATAGATAGGCGTAATTACAACATTGAACGAACTTTTTTAAAACTACAAAAAGCGAATCGGGAGTATTTCGGCAAAAACAAATTCAAGATAGCAACATTTAAGTTTTGACAGCAAGTTTTGGGCGGGCGAGTTTGACAGTTCGCGGGTTCGAAATTTAAAATTGACGTTTGAATTACAACATGGCGGACTGTGTGTTTGTCGGCGTGTTCGCCGGGTTCGTCGACCTCGCCGGACCTTCGCAATAGGATGATAAACTTCCAAAATATTTGACGTCTGCTCTATCCGTGAGTATCTATCTGTACACATTTTATATTGAATCAATCGTTCCCGTTCTAGAATTATTGATGATGTACGTTACATAAGGGTGCGTTCATAATGTCGCATGAATATTGTAGCAGTTAATATGACGTGTGTATGTGTGCGGTCGCTGGTCATACACACACATTGGCCGGATTGTTTTTATCGTTGGCAGTAAATTAGAGGGGCGATAGTGGCCCGCCGATACCGACTGACTAGTGTACGTATTGATTTTTTTCCCTCATTCTGTTAAATTTCATTTATTGGGGGAGCGACCGGACATGCCGCGATGACGTATACCGAATGCCCAGCTTTCGTTCATGTTGGCCAGAGCCGAAGAAGTTGGTGGGAGAGAATGACGGACTGCGGTGTGGTGGATGCTATTTTTAACTTGGCCTTGTATAACTTATCACTACCCTCCCCTCCCCCCCCATTTACATTGTGGAAATCGGACTGAAAAATTGACGGGCGCCGAAGGTCGCGCGTAAGAACATAACAACTACCCACTTTCCTATTAATATTGGCGTGCATTGTAATGACGATTTGTCGTCATGACACACTTAAACGTAGTTTTGAAAATGGATCTTATTCCAACGACTCAAAAGTTCGTTTTTGAGATCTAACATTTTACACATTTTAAAAAATCATTTCCGCATCTGTAGTTTGAGGGTGTACTATTTTTTAACCGACTTAAAAAGAAGAAGGTTCCCAATTTGGTTGTATTTTTTTTTGTTTGTTATCTTATCAGTTCATCAGTTTTAAACCGATTTGGAGTTTTTTTTATCTGAAAGGATATATATTATAGTTTAGTTTTATAGAAATTTTATCAAAATCGGTACAGTAGTTTAGTTTTTAAATAAAAATAACAGGTTTTGCCGCATTTGAAGTTGTTTTTTTGTATATTATGTTATATTATATATTTGTCTTTCCGGATAATATAATATTATTATTATACTATCCGGAAAGACAAACAAACGGTTTACTTGGTGAATAATGGTATTGCCAATAGACCTGAACAGCACCATGGCTATCCCAAAATAAACTGACATCCATGATGCCTCTCACGCTTTGCTATTTCTGAACAATTAAAAAAAAATGACTTTTGATAATTACTGAATATTCAAATTAATTTTATTCATTAGTTAAAACTTCTCTAAAATCCAATAACTTATTTTACATGAGTAACAGTTCAAAAACTATAGAACACGGAAGCGTAACACCTTAGTCGCCAGGAATGGCAACGCATGAGGGTAACATATATAGGCAACCGTTTCCTGCAAACTGGCTCATATTAAGTTTTATAAATAAACATCGGAAGTACGGCCCTGATGAAAAATCATAGATCAATAATACCTAGATAGAGCGTCTCTCTATAAATGCTTTAACAACAGCCTAAGTTTTATTCAAAATGGCGCGCTTTTAAATATGTATACATCATAATAAAATTGGATGCTATTTAATTCAAGGAAAGTTCTGAATGTCCATGAATTATTAAAAATAATGATGAATTTGTGAATATTTAATATTTTTTTAACTTGAATTCTTTGCAAATTTGGAACTGTCACATACATATGTTTACATTACATATCTACTTATTATATATATAATAGGGTTAAGGAAAAGAGACAAACCATAAGAACTATTGAGGTCAGAAGGCAAAAAAATGTTAGGACACTTAATACGACACGACGAACTTATGAACACTATAATAAAAGGTAAGATAGAAGGAAGGAGGGGAAGAGGGAGACCAAGGCATAGTTACATCAGGCAGATCAAGGGAAAAATTGGTGTCGTGTCGTATCAAGAGGTGAAGAGACTCGCAGAAAATCGTAGTGAGTGGCAAGAGCTCCACTGACAAGAGCGCAGCTCTTAAATAGGATATATATATATATATATATATATATATACATATACATATATATATTTACATATTATTCTTTACTATGTCTATATAAAAATGACAGATCAAGTAAGTGATGTCTGAGTCTGTTGATGTTTGAGGTATGCGTGTGGTTGCCCAGTGACGGAAGGTAAACGGAGTCGAGTCAGTTGGCCTATCGTGATGAATTCACTAAGAATTAACCATGATGGTCTCCAGGAGGGATTGCGTGGTATATTGTTAGTAATGGAACCAGTTCTTTTACTAACAAACCCCTCCGGTCAGTGACAATAAACCGGCTGTTTTGGAACGTTTTTTGTTATTCGATGCTCTATCCATATGTGTATGATCTTGATATTTTGAAGGTGGTGGATATAAAAATTATTGATAGATTGAAATTGAAATTGAAAAAAGATGGGATTCGAATTCGCACCCGCTGTCTGGGCTGAATGTGTTACCAATTACACCATGGAAGGAATACCATCAGGCGATAAATTTTTAAATATTCGACTGAACAAGGTGTTATCTTGCGTAAGTCTATATCACTAGTTATTTCGTTAGAAGTATTTTGTTTATTTCTATAACCTTTCATATCATTTTACCAGAGGGAGACTTTGTACAAAAGTCGATTGCTTGGGTACCTGTGTCCCATTCGTGTTTCAACCGTGAAGCAGTTGTGTTTGCATAGCTGTGTTTCGGTTTGAAGGGTGGGATATGGCGCGAATTTACAGGGTACAGAGGAATAACACCTGAGTCCTCAGGAATGGCAACGCATGGGGGGTATCGTGGGCGAAACAGTATACTCTGTTATGTCCATGGTACTGCTCATGTCTATAGACGACGGTTACCACTTTCCATCAGGTGGGCCGTCAGCTTGTTTGCCATTCTAAGTTGTATATAAAAAAAAAGTTAATTAATCAATTAATAAACTAAATAAATTTGATTAGCTTTTCTCACGTTTTAAATTCGACGATGACCGACTAGTGTTCGATTTGTTATAAATGATATAAAGAAATATATTTTAGGAACCGAACGAAGTTTCTAAACAAAATACCCAAATTATTCGTACCTTTTCGAGGCGGTCTGTAATTAATTAGTTAATATATTATCCATTTCTAAATTTATCTCTAAAATACATAATTAGACACAAAGATAATTTGATAGAAGCGATTCCTGAAGTGAATTCCGCGAAACATTCTGTGCAAATGTCAAAAGGGGTCCCTCGAACTGATGATGTCGGGAAATATGTCTAAATAACTCAAACTATGGGTTCCGTAAAAAAATCGGACGAGTAGATATAGAGTAGAAAATATTTATTGGCCCCAGAAAAATAACTGTGACTGGTCGCTATCTGTATATGGAAGATTACCAGAGGGAGACTTTGTACAAAAGTCGATTGCTTGGGCACCTCTGTCCCATTCGTGTTTCAACAGTGAAGCAGTTGTGTTTGCATGGCTGTGTTTCGGTTTGAAGGGTGGGATATGGCAGTGAATTTACAGGGTACAGAGGAATAACACCTGAGTCCTCAGGAATGGCAACGCATGGGGGGTATCATGGGCGAAACAGTATACTCTATTATGTCCATGGTACTACTCATGTCTGTAAGCGACGATTATCACTTTCTATCAGGTGGGCCGTCAGCTTATTTGCCGTTTTAAGTTGCATAAAAAAACCTAACTAAATACTCTTTATAATGAGGAAGAATTTGATTTTTTGTTTGTAACGGGTAAAATAAAAAAAATATATTTGCCTGATTTTGAAAATTCCCTCACCTATAGGAAGGTACATCATCAGGGACTAAGATGAGCTGTATTTTGTTAAAAAAACAACCTATTTACTCGTGAAAAGTAAGTAAATGATAAGCTATATTCATAAAACCATAATTATTCTAAACAATTGTTTTTAAAAATGTAATATACATACATACATATGTATAGCAGAGTGATTTTAGATTAATCATATGTCTAGCTAATTCGAATATCTGATTGTTAACGCAACGGAATTTGGGTCTTTTTTTTAATGTGCGATAATGGAATGGTAACCCCGCCTGCGCTATCGGTATACGCTGACGGGACACCAGTGTGGGATGATAGGTGAGGATGAAAAAGCAGGTCAGTTAGCCTATAGTGACGAATTCCACCAGAATTACCAGGTTTTCCCAAGAGACTACAGCATAGGGTTCTTCAAAAGGGGGATAAAGAGGTTTCTTCAGGGTCGGCAACGCGTGCGTAATACCTCTGGTATTGCAGGCGTTAGGCTATATGCTACGGTATATATATACTACGCTATAGGCTACGGTAACCGCTTGCTATCAGGTGGGCCGTATGCTTGTTTGCCGCCTGTGGTATAAAAAAAATTAATCGCGATAGTTTCCAGGGGGAACCGCGTGGAGGTCGACCTGATAGGGTGTATTCCTAGTTATAGGGAAATCAAATCCCATTACTAACAATCCCCTTCCCCCCACGGAATTTAGGTCAAAAATATCAAAAAGGACGTCCTTCTGACGTCCTTTATTTGTGTACATATTGTTAACATTTATAATGTGTATCATTCTTTGAATAGAACAATCTAAGAACAAGGAATTGCATAGAAGGAATGATAAAATAAAAACTGTAAATCACATGGTTGACTCCTTTTTTCTTATGCAAATATAATTAGTAAAAAGAGGACGACAGATACACCATCAGTTGATATTTTTCTCAATTCAAAGCAGGCTAGTGGACAAAAAATGTTTGATATGTCAATTATTTGTCAATGACAAATTTTACATTACTAGATTATATATTCGACACAGTTTATGTAGAAAGTATGCAAGCAGGTTGTATCTGAATTTGGTAGGGTTATACGGCCGTGTAACATTTTCTATACACTAGCCTGCTATGAATTGACAATTTTATCACTCCTTCTATGTAATACCTTGTTCTTAGAGAACAATAAAGAGTTTTTATTAATTAATTTTATGTGGCTGCAATTATGTATATGTCAATTTGACTACGTCGAAAATCACTCTATAGTATTTTTATTTTTTCAACTTCAAATCTGTTTTTATTGAGGGAAGGGGGGGGGGAAAGGGATTGTTAATAATGGAGACTGAGAATCCCATTGCTA